GCCAACATAAACATGACTGGGAACAGGGCAGTGTTTTTATGATCTTCAGTCCCTGGAGATCCTTGTTCACTGGGAAAGATACTCTCACTTCAGTGAGTACTTGCTTAAGACCCAGAGGCCTCTCACGGCAGGGGCTGCCTGGGACCACCTGTATGAACTGACTCACCTCCCCAAGTTCCCAGAGGGCCTCTTCCTGTAAGCCCTTCCAGATCAATGGGAACCAAAAGGCAAACACTCTCCCAGGACTGTGTCCACGTGAACAAGGAATAAGCAATGGCCAGAACACCCCCTTTAGCTTGCCACCTTCTAGAAAGCAATCACATTTTCCTGGGACAACTTTGAAAACTATGGCCTTCTGTTTTTTTTCCTCCTTTTGTGCATAAGATAAATCATTTCAATCCCATTTGAATCCCAGTTGAATCTTACTTCCCCCATTCACTACACTTAGTCCTGGTATAGGTGAGAGAGAGAGACCCAGTTCTTAAACTCCAAGCTTCCAGGCTAATGACTAAGTAGATGAGTGTTTAAGAAAAATCTGTGGCTTGCTTGAGACAGGCAGAAACTCACATCTCTATCCCCTCAATATCACTGTGAGGCAGGGATTGTCACCCGCCTCCTCCTCCATGGTAATAATGAGTATTTATTGAGTTCGTACTATGTACTAAATTCTGTGCTAAGCATTATGTGTGGATTGTTGCACATAATTCTCACAAAACCCTGAGGGGTAGATACGGTTATCATCCCTAATAAACAGAGGAGGAAAACAAGCCTCACAGAGGGTGAATTGGCTTGATGAATCAGAACTGTTTGCTCTTTCTATTGGATTGAGCTTCCTTTTAGAGAGTTTGTGAATATTTTCTGGGGTGGAAAATCCCCATCTTTCAGAGCAGTTTTGAGTTTTGGAAGAGCCTTTAATGGCAGAATCAGGGGTAGGAGATCGAGTTGATAAATACTGTTTGGGCAAATAGCAGGTGTGGCCTCAGGGAAGGGACTTGGCTTTCATTTGTGAGGCAGAAGGCTGTTTCCAGGAGTCCCTGCAGGGTTCCAGCCTTGCAGGCCCTTTGGAATTGTTCAAGGCTTCTCAGTGTCCAGAGCACATAATATTCAAAATAGGATGGGATTTAGAGATTATCTAATTTAATCACCATGTTTTATAGAGTTAATTCAGAGAGATTTATGTTTATTAGAGAAGGTCACCCACCTAGGGGTAGAATAGGAACTATAGCTCAGAGCTCATAAATCCCATCCTAGGGCTCTTTCCTTCCCTTAATACAGGAGATTAAATATTGTCCTCTTTGGGTACTTTTATACAAGGGTATTTTCTTTAATCCAATATATCCAAAATATAATCATTTCAACATGTTCTTTTTTTTTTTTTTTAAGTTTATTTATTTATTTATTTATTTAGAGTTTGACCTGGGAGAGGAGCAGAGGGGGAGGGAAAAGGAAGGGGGAAGAATCTTAAGCAGACTGTGCTGAGTGCTGAGCCCAACATGGGGCTCTATCTCACAGCCTTGAGATCATGACCTGAGCTGAAACCAAGAGTCGGATGCTTAATTGACTGAGCCACCCAGCCACTCCTCAACATGTTCTTGATAAAAAATTGATAATGATAATGAAAATTTTGCCTTTTTTCTTTCATGATTATTTATTGTGGTAAAATAAATATAACATGAAATTTACCATTTTAAGAATTTTTTAAATTCTTAAAATGCAATTTTGTAGCATTAAATTAGTTGTACATTGTTGTGCAACCATCACCACTATCCATGTCTGGAACTTTCTGGTCAGTCCAAATTGAAACTATGTACTCATTAAAAACACCTCATCCTCCCCCGCCCCAGCCCCTGGTAACCTCTATCCTACTTTCTATCTCTATGGATTTGCCTGTCCTACATATTTCATATAAATGGAATCACACAATATTTGTCCTTTAGCTTATTTCACTTAGCATAATATTCTCAGGGTTTATCTATATTGTCAAATGTATCTAAATTTTATTCCTTTTTATGTCTGAATAATATTCTATTGTATGTATATACCGTCTTTTGTTTATCTATTTCTCTGTCGATGAACACTTGGGTCATTTCCACTTTTTTGGCTATTGTGAATATAGTGTTGCTATGAATATTGGCAAACAAGTCTTTGAACTACTTTTTAAAAAGTATTTATTTCTGAGAGAAAGAGAGAGAGAGAGGAGGAACAGAGGGGGAGGGAGAGGGACAAGCAGACTATATGCTGGGCTTGATCCCAGGACCCCGAGATCATGACTTGAGCTGAAACCAAGAGTCGGATGCTTCACTGATCTAGCCACCTAGGTGTCCCTGAACTACTTTTAAAAAATGAAAATCTTATTTCGCTTAGCATAAGTCAGTCAGAGAAAGACAAATACCATATGATTTCACTCACATGTGGAATTTAAGAAACAAAAAAAATGAGCAAAGGAAGAGGGAGAGACAAGCCAAGAAACAGACTCTTAAGTATAGAGAACAAACTAATGGTTACCAGAGGAGAGGTGGGTGGGGGAATGGGTGAAACAGGTGATGGGGACTAAGGAGGGCACTTGCGATGAGCACTGGGTGTTGTATGGAAGTGCTGAATCACTGTATTGTATGCCTGAAACCGATATTACACTGTACGTTAACTAACTGGAATTTAAATAAAAACTTAAAAAAACGAAAGCAGTGCTTAAAAGAAAAAAATGAAAATCTTAGGGCAGAGGGAAGGGTGGGGGAGATGGCAATAGAATATGAATAAGTTGGGCTGCACTGGGATACTGTGAGAGATTTAAAAGCAAAACATACATGCTTTATTAAATTTTCGATCTGGCTATGCTCTTAGGCATATGGGGGTAGGCAGGAGGGTATGATTTAAGGTTGAGTAATGCACAGGAAGATAGAAGAGGATGGAGGTTATAGGGAGAGACTTACTGAGGTTCAATCTAATAAAAAAATAAAAATTATTTGGGGTAAGTCCTGATACCTGAATCTCTACTTTTATAGAGCATGGACATCTCTTTGTTTCTTTAGGGAAGTCAGCCATTTCCTCCATCCTCTCTCTTTCATTCAGCCTATTCTATCTGCGTTGATTAGCTGCATGACTTTGGAGGCCACTTTACTACCTTTGAGCAGGGAATCACAATTGGATGCTTACAGATACATATACTACGAAGGCCCTTTTCCAGGAGAGAGGTTAAGTGTCTGAGGTTTCCTTCTCCTAAGAAAGAGCCCACAGGTTGGAGTCTCCCCCATAGTTTATCCACCCAAGTCCCCCACCCAAGATTTGTTCAGTGAAGCTTCTAAGGGAACCCAATGATTGAAGTCAGATTTCAGCTTCTCATGAAATCTGATTTCAACCATACAATGGAAATATCCCACCTTGATGCATTCAGCATCTTTACAGTTGTGCAAACAGTACCTGGGGTGGGAAAGTAGACTAGGGAATCTCCTGTATCTCCAAATCTGAGTTTATAGGATTCTATAAGTATAAAAGCAGTAGGTATAACACTTAGCAAAATTTAAAATAAAATTTTATTATATCTTATACCTGAATTAAAAACCAGACATTCAAAATATTTGACAGGTACAGAATATACTTAAAAAAGGGACATATGATTGAGAATATATAAGAGATAAATAGACAAAAATATTCTTCCTTAATCTGGGAAGAAGCAGGCTGTGGAACATGAAAGGTGGCTATAAAACCTGAACAGTATTCTGGATTTGTTACTCATGAGGGCAGGGTTATGTCTCAACACAAATACATTCATCTTATAAGGCACACAGCAGAGAGAAAACAGGATTTGCACAGGCTGCGGAAATAAATGGCAGATGTTAAAAAGGAAGCAATATAACATGGAAATTAAGTGACTGTATTTGGTTATCAAATTCAATTTCAAATCTTGGCACAGCACCCACAAACTGTATGGCTTAGTTATCTTGTTAATGAAAGTCTCATTTCTCTCACTTGTAATGGGAGGCAAAAATGGTACTTACTCCAAAAAGTTGTGAAAATCAGATAAAACCACTAAAGCACTTAGCATAGTGCCTAGAACATGATAAGCACTCAAGACATGTTCATTGGCATTACTGTGTAGGGCTTAGATAAATTCCCAGATAATGCATAGTAAACCAACAGTGAGGTCTGTGACAAGCTTTGTTTTATGTAAATTGTCAGTTTCATTTTCTTCATTTTGAAATTTGCACATCAGCTAAACAAGATCTCCATAATAAAGAAATTTAGAAAGTAAAAACAAAAATGAGTCACTATTAATTTGAGCACATTTCCTTCAAGGCAGAGGTGCTTTTCAAGTTAGTTTCAATCATGTGTCCTTATTGTTTATTTTTTAACATTATATGCATGTTTCATTTTATAGCAGATTCTTTAAAAGTCACACAATATTCCTTTTATATAGATTATTCCACATAATATTCCATTAAATAAATGGACCATACTTGAGTTTACTATTCCTTACTTTTATATATTATATCCTAGTATTTTTAATATGATTTCTCTAAATAATTGTGTAACCAATATATTTTATGAAAAACCTGCTTTCTGCACTTAGGGATATTTTGTTAGGATACATTTCCAAAAGTGAGAATATAGCATTAAAGCATAGAACCTTTAAAAAGTTCTTGCTACATATGCCAATTACACCATCACCTTTGATGGTCATGGATTTATATTTCAACATTGTGAATTTTCATTAATAAAAACTGCTAATTTAATAGGCAAAAATGCTGCCTAATTATTGTTTTAATATATGATTTCTCAGATTACTAGTCAGGTAGAATAATTTTTCCCTTGTTAAAAAGCCAGTTGTATTTTTTGTCACTCTTCTCTATGTTTTTTTTACTACATATTGGGATATTGGTGGTTTTTGTAATTTAAACTTTTGGTACAATAATAATATCAATAACATTTTGACCTATGGAAGGAAATAATGGTAGCCTCCAAACTTTCACCCCAAGCAGAGGCAGAATTCGGAGGCCACAGCTGAGAAAATCATCGATACGCTTATAGACAACTAGAATTAAGCTAGCATTAGGAAATCCTTATGTCACGCCATTAAAGATAAGGGAAAGTGGAGTGGTAAGGATCACCTGTTCTCCACAGCCTGAGGGTCCTTGTCATAGCTCATCTTGAACATAGCTAGCACCCGAGTTCTGATCTGTTTGGTCTTGGCACCGTAGATGATGGGATTGATCACAGGAGGCAGAAGTAGATAAACATCACCCATGAGAACATGCACAATGGGATCAAGGCTGTTTCCAAAACGGTGTACCACTGAGAGGCCAATGAGAGGAACATAGAAGGCTAACACCACACCGATGTGTGACACACAGGTTCCAAAAGCCTTGGCCCGCTCTGACTTGGAAGGCAGTTGTAGAACTGTTCGTATAATCAGAAAATAGGACAAGGAGATGAAGAGGACATCCACGCCCATAACCAACAGAATGGCAGTAAGACCATAGATCACATTGGGCAACGTGTCTGCATAGGCCAGCTTCATCATATCCTGGTGCACACAGTAGGAGTGTGAGAGCACATTGGAGTGGCAGAAGGCCAGCCGCTTGATGAGCAGAGGCAGTGGGATAAAGAAGAGGGATCCACGGACCACAGCCACCACGCCAATCTGGGCTGTTACTGTATTGTTGAGCACTGCTGCATGGCGCAGTGGGTGGCAGATGGCTATATAACGGTCAAAGGCCATGGCCAGCAGGATAGTGGACTCAATAGCTGAGAGAGCATGAATAAAAAACATCTGGGTAATGCAGGCATCAAAGGTAATCTCCCGGGAATCAAACCAGAAGAGGGCGAGGATCTTGGGCATGGTGGATGTGGACAAGGCCAGGTCAATGGCTGCCAGCATGCAGAGAAAGAGGTACATGGGAGCATGTAGGCTGCGCTCTGTCCTTACGATGAAGACCACGATGCAGTTTCCAAACACTGCCACGGCGTACATTGAAAGCAGGGGGAAGCCGATCCAAAAATGGGCTTTTTCTAATCCTGGGATACCAATAAGTACAAAGGTTGTATGTGTGAAGTTGCAGGAACTCATAGCTGGCATCAAGAAGGGGGTGCTGGAGAGGGTGAGGTCACCCTGGCAGCCTGCTAGCCTGCTAGGACATGGAGCACAATCAGAGAGGCCAACCCTGGAAACCTGGGAACTGAATGCACCTTAGCTCTCCCTCTCCTACTCTCCCCTCTCACTCTTCCAAGCCCTTTAGGCTCTTTCATAAGCTCTGAAGCCCTCTTCCAAAGGGAAAAAGGATAGTTCAAACTCATTTATCAATTGCCCCTCTCAAGGTCCGTTTACATTACAATTTTTTATTTATTTATTTACTTTATTAGAGAGAGCAAGCACAAGTGGAGGGAGGAGCAGAGGGAGAGGGATAAGCAGACTCAGCGCTGAGTGTGGAGCCCAACATGGGGTTTGATCCCAGGATCCCAAGATCATTACCTGAGCTGAAACAAAGACTGGACTGCCCAACTGACCGAGCCACTCAGGCACCTCCCATTTACATTTTAAAAATGGAACCTGGGGAAAACAATGCTTATCCCGAAATGTATCCTTTCCAAATTCCTTTGGACTCCTTCTGACCCACACCTTCATTACCTGGATATTGGGTAGTCCTTTTCTCAGATAGGTGTTAACAGATACCTTACTGAGAACCCTTTCCAGGTATGTTCTCTTTTCTTTTCTTTCCTTCAATTATTCATTCATTTTATAAGCATCTACTTATATGACCTACTATGTACAAGGCTATTTGCTAGATGCTCATGATACAGAGATGAAAGACACATCTTTTGACCTTCAGATGCCCTACCTATGGTGGAAGATAGACAAGTAACCCAATTATTAGAGTTTTGGAATAAGTGTTAGCTTAAGGTGTGCATTTAATGCATGGGAGGGGGAGAGGCATGATCAGAGGAACCTTCCGGGCAAAGATAATCCTTTTGTTCAGTCTTCAAACATGAGTAGGAATTAGACAGAGAAGGGAATAATGGGTATATGAAGCCAGTGGGGATAGGGAATTTTTTTTTTCCTTCAAATTTTCAGGATTCTGGATCCCCAGGTCTAAGGTCAGCAAGGGGAAAAAGAAACACAAAAATGGCAGTTTTTAAAAGATGAGAAAAAAACCTAAGAAAAAAAGACCACAAGTCAATCTGTTAAGTAAAAAAAAGAAACGCCTTTGGAGGTCATCAAATGAAAGGGAGTAGCTCCCTCCAGTGACTTATCTAGAGATGAAGGTGCTGGCAGGGTGTGTGGCTTCCAGCGGATCCTAGCTGCCTGACATGGTCCCTTGTGAAGGCTTTTCTCTTTGCTCATGGCTGATGTGTTTCTCCACACCTGAAAGCTGCCTCCAGGCCACACTCCTTACCCCAAGGAGAACTTGGGTCGAGTCTTGATACTCCTAGAGCTTGTCTTTCCTGGAACCTCTGCCAACAAGCCATTCATGTTAGGGAAAGCTTTTTGTTTTTGGAAGCCCGGCATTACTCTGCCCCTGCCCTGCCACCCAAACACCTAGGATCTGACCTCATCAAACACTTTCTCTTCTAGGCTCCTTAGGTACCCTGATCTTTAGAGCTAATTGTTTCTAAAGAGCTAAAGGCTTGGCTTTAAGAAGAAGGACCTCTGAATCTTGGGAATTAACTCTGCAGGTGTCTTCATCGGTCGTAGTTATGTAAAATTGTTCATCTCCCCAGGATTCTTCTTCACTCCTCATCTGGGTCCATACTGCAACTGGGAGATTCTTTTTCATTTGGCTTTAGGGGAGAGGGTTTGGAGACCAGCAGTCTTAAAATATAGTGTGATAAAATAGGAACTAAAAGATTTGACTTGGATTATCCCCATCATGGATAAGCAAGGAAGAACAAATCCAAGATTCAAAGGTCACAGAATTCACACCTCTGACCACTATTTGCTCTTCTCCCTATCCTCAGATCTTATGCAAAGACATAATAGCTTTATGTGAGACAAATGTGAGATCCCAAATTTGGCCACAAGCTGCTATCAGAGAATGAGAAGCCCTTTTAATAGGCATATAATTGCATCCTTCAGTGAGATAAAAGATAGCTTATGTCTTGTATCCATCCAACCATCTATGTATCTGTCATGGGTAGCTTAGGGAGAGAGATTCAGAAATCTAAACAAGTCAGGCTGAAAAGTATGGGTAATGCTAAGGAAACTTCCCTGGAGGGAGGCCAGCTCACTTGACCTCTGTGTCCAAGAGAAATGGGGCCCTTACAGTTTGTTGGCAGGATAAACAACAGTTCAGAATGAACAGTGATGGGTGGGAGAAATGATAGATTTAGGACTTTACACTGTTCATTACTTCTATTCTTATGTCTCTGTCTCCTCATCTGTAAAATAAAGGGTCAAGCTAGTTGATGTTCTAAATATATTCCAGCTTTAATTTTAAATTTTTGTTTCATGATCACCAGTTTTGTTTTAAAATGACAATGTAGGCCATCTCTAGAATTCTGTGATTCTATGTATCTTTGGAATGGAGAATTTTTATCACAGCTCTGCATATCTGGTCTTCACACTGTAGATGATGGGGTTCATTACAGGAGAGATCAGGAGGTACGTGTTAGCAATCATTGTATGAACATAGGCTGGGGCTCGTTTCCCAAATCTGTGAACAAAGGACAGACTGATCAATGGAAAGTAGAAAATAGCAACAGCCCCAGGATGGGAGATACATGTGCTGAAGGCTTTCTTCCTCTCTTCTGGGGATGCAATGCTGAGGACAGTCTTAATAATCAAAATGTAAGAAAGGAGGATGAGGATTGAGTCCACACCAACAGTAGAGATCATGGCAGTCAACCCAACTGCATTGCTGATCCTGGTGTCTGTGCACGAGAGCTTCATTACATCAGGGTGGAAGTAGTAGGAGTGGTGCAGCACGTGGCTGTGGCAGAAGGACAGTCTTTTAAAAAGAAGTGCAACCATTGGTGTCAGCCTTAGTGTCCCCCTGATGACAATTGCCACTCCAGTTTGAGCTATTCTGGAATCAGTTAAAATGGTGGCATACCTGAGTGGATTAGAGATGGCCACAAAACGATCAAAGGCCATGGCCAACAGCACTGAGGATTCCATGATAGTGAAGAGTTTAATAAAGAACATCTGTGACAAGCAGGCATTAAAGCTGATCTCCCTGACGTCGAACCAGAATATACCTAGAATATACCCAACATGGTAACTAGGGTGGATACGGACAGGCTGAGGTCAGTGGTGGACAGCATGGAGAGGAAACAATACACGGGTTCGTGGAGGCTGGGCTGGGTGACAATGGCAAAGAGAATCAGACTCTTTCCTGAGAGGGCGGTTATGTAGAGAAAGCAGAGGGAATGGAGATCCAGGTGTGGAAGGCTTCCAGCCCGGGAACACCAGTTAGCAGGAAAATGGTGGAAGTAGATCTGGTATTCCAGAAGTTTGAAATGCTGGATTAAAAATACAGAGTTCCAAGATGAAACTCTGGAACAACAACAAAACTGCATTTTTTTGTATTAACCCAATTACAAATAATTTTATTCAACCAAAAACTAACCGAAGACAAATATTTATATACTATGTAAAAATGAATTTCTCATTGAAATTGATAAAGGAATCATTAAGATTTCAACTGCTGTAGTAGGTACCATTCTTTTTCTTATATGTACCTCAGCCCATCATTTTTCTTTCCTGGGACCCTTTGCTGGTAGCTATGTTCATACTATGTGACCTTTTCTTCCATTTCTCCAGCCAGAGATGACTGGATGAAGGGAAGTCACTTTATTCAAGATTGGTCAATTATATTTCACCTTTTCTGGATTTTCAAATTGTGATAAAGAGGTAGCAGGTTAGTTTTTCCATATAGTTGGCATCGGAGAAAAGTAGACTGGGACTGTGGAGCAGCAATACTACATCGGCCTCAAGTGTAGAAAGCAGAGAAGCTTATAGACAATTTGGGAAGCCAGAAAATATTGAGAGAGATACTTATGATACAAAACACATATGACACGCTAATAGATGGCTTAGGCACCAGTGCAGTCATGTGCAGATTGTCTATGGTATCTAACCTTGAAAGTGACACCTGCAGTGTAGCATCTGGTGTCTCATTTGGGAGGTGGAGTTAGAACACAGACCTACCACCTTAGAGGCCTCTGTCCCCTCCCCCCATATGATATAGCATGCTGCCTTATACAGATAGAGTTCTCTCTTCATCTGCCTGAAGACTGGTTGTTCTCCATTTTGTTAAGACATACTTCTCAGGAGATATTTAATAGAATTTTACTGTTTTGCCTTGGAGGGAAAGATATACCTTTACTGGGAACATTACATTTCATTTTTCATTGAGTACAGAATTTCAGGCTCTTCAGATGGGTATGTATGAGTTGAAAGGGGAGTCTTGGGAAAGACATTAGGGCTGTGACTGGAAAGGGTTCAGTCAGTAAGGTAACTGTTCCTCAGGGGAACCTAAATGTTTTCCAGACCACTCAAGTTCACCCAGATAAAGTACCTCAAGGATTCCCTAAAGAAATCTTAGTTTAAAAAAACTGGGAAATATTTAATTGAAATCAATGAAAAATTAGAGGAAAAAGAAGTGCTAAGTTACATGAATTGACCCAGTAAGTAAACTATAACTTTAGACTCTACAGTTCAGAGTCATAAGAATGTCCTCAGGGAACCAATGAAATTACTGTTAGAAATGTATGATCAAACCTCCTGATGGGAATAAGAGTTGACAGAAAGGAAACATTCATTAAGAAAGGGAGCATTTTCTTTTTGGCACTGCTTCTGGTGCCTGTTTATTGAGTGTCATGAATACAACTGACATTATGCCGAAATGAATTGGATATAGACTTGCTCAACTGGCATGCATTTCAGTTAATTATGAAAGTTTGAAAGTTAACAAGTTTAACAAATTTGATGTTTAACAAGTTCTGTTAGCACTTTTCACAAATATATTGATTTTTGAAAACATTTTTAGTAATTATAGTTTTTAAAAATACATATTGATCAGAAAGGCAAACTAAAACTCTACTTATTAAATGAATAGTACTTATGATAATTAAAAAAAAGGGGGTTCACCTCTCATGTTCCACAAGTCTTTGACCTGTTTATTTACTATTAATTTCCAGAACCTGGGTCTCAACCTTTGAGGTTAACAACTTCCTGGGGTCCATGGGAGCTAGAGTAATTATGAAAAAGTTCATAATTGCACACACAGTTCAATTATGTGTAAAAGACTTAGGGTATCTGGAGAAGTCTTCTTAGGAAAATCAGTGCTTGAAAGATTGCTATGTTTTGCGTAAATAGAAATGAAGTATTCCAAGGCTACTAGAATAGCATATGTGAAAGTGTTGAGTCAGAATGAACTCTTAAAGAGTTTAAAATCAAGTGAGGGAGAAAGAATAGCACTGTTTATAAATAACTTCAACATCTAGGGTACAATGGTGAATGACAAAAAAGGGTTATGGGGGTGCAGAGTGCCTCCATATCTGTCACTTATGTCTAGCTATTATGAAGATTTTCACGATGCTTGTTGCTATGACATGCAATGATTGAGTTGTAACTTTTGTTACTGAGTGCTAGGAAATTTTTTAAGAGATCTTTTTTTTAAATTGCTGTTGGAACAATTTCTCTTTCATCCTAATTTCTTCATGGCTCCCTTTACATTATTTTATTAATTTAAACAATTTATTCATTACACATTTTCATTCTTGTCAGTTTTTTCCCTTCCCTTTCTTGTTGAGGGATCAGAAGAAAAACATAATGTGTAGGCTGAACTGATCTGAGTTGAGTCTGGCAGAAGAGAACTCCCTAAAATTCCTTCCTTTCCATCGTTCTACAACTGTGTCTTCCTGTACCCTGTCCTCGTCCATGCTGGGTGCAAACATAGAAGATTCCTTATTGGTTTTCATAGCCACTAACTCCATCTAAGCTCTTGATCACCCATCACCAATGCTTAGTTCATTTCAGTATCAAACTGGGAGCTCACTGGGTATTGTGTCAGCACTAAGGATATGAAGCAGAAAAAATGACAGTGCTTTGGTGCCTGAGAAAACCAGAGAGGTTGTCAACACCTCATCTTTTTAAGGCTGAAAACTGTATCTTTAATAAGAGTGCAGTGACTCCTATGAAAATGAAAAATTACCAGTTTGGGGAACACCTACTGCATGCCAGGCACACTGCATATAAGAGGATTCAGAGACAAATACCTCTAGCTGTAGAGTGCATTGGATGAGGTATTTCTAAGGGATAAGACAGGATAGTTTGGAGCAACAGATTCTGAGTGTGTGTATACATGAATGTGTCTATGTGTGTCAAGAAGAATTAGTTCCAAGAACTCTTAACTGAGTAGATGAATTAGAACTGTGTAATATTTTGATGGGTGGATGTGAATTTACAAGGATTAAAAGCAGGAAAAGGGTGTTCTTGACATAGATAAAAACATAAGCAGAAACCAAATGAAGTAATAACAGGGTTGGTTGGACAACTTAAAAGAAAATTAAAATGCTGGAGCCTTAAATATGATGCTGGGTGATGTGGGAGCTGAGCAAGAGAAATCAGCCAGGCCAGGACATGAACATCTTGCATTTCGTGGAAAGGAGAGGGAACTTCAATGTTAGTTGCAGAACATCAAGAGCTAGGCATTTCCAAATATTTTATGAATAAACAAATCATTCTTCATTTGTTCTCCCTTAACCCTAACAAAATTCCTTTCCTTCTTTAGTATCTTAGTACCAGTGGCTCCCTTTCCGCAGCTTCAATTCTCAAGTTATACCCCAAACCATTAATGAAAGCTTCCCACACATTTATGTAGATGTTGTCAACATGACATTCAGTTCAACTAAGATATATTGACCATCTTTCTTAATTGGCCCCTGTGCTTTGTTAGTATGGGAAATAAGAGACAAACCCTGTTTCTCCCTCAATTTCCTGCCTTATCTTTTATAATGACAAAACATATTATTGGAAGGACAGTCTGCCTGTGTTTATTATCCTTTCACCTTCAGTAATAATCTGGGTTCTTTCTCTAATGACTCTCAGGAAATTCTCCAACTCATGTCACCAATAACTTTCTAAATACCAAGTCCAAAAATTTATCTTCAGATTTGTTTTCCTCTCTCTCATCTCAAATTTTCACATTTTTAGACACCTTTTCTTTGTCTTTTCTTTAGGCACTTTCTCCTTCACTAGCTTCAGTGATAGTTATTCTGTGTTTTTATTTAATTTCTTTATTGAACAGTATTTTTGTTCTGTCTTTTCAGTTGTGGTGTTCTTTAGGAGTCCTTTTCTTTCAGGAAGCCCCTGTTTTTTTTTTTTTAATTTAATTTTATTATGTTATGTTAGTCACCATAATACATCATTAGTTTTTGATGTAGTGATCCATGATTCATAGAAGCCCCTGTTTTTTTCTTGCCCTCCAGTATACTCTCCTTGGGATATCTTAGTTTTTCCCACAGCTTTAAATAGCACTTATATTCAGATGACACGTGAATCTGAAATCTAATTATAGATTCTCCTGCGTTCTATATTTCAAAAGTTAACAGGATCTTTGAAGCCATGGCAAAATGTCTGGGCTGAAATTTGAAGGCAGTCATGAATCCTGGAACTAGAGTGAGGTGATCAAGTAGGCAATTTGAAAGACTAATGGGCAGCAGTTTGAAGAACAGGTCAAAGCTCTCTGCTTAGTGCCAGTGGAAAAAAAAAAATTAACTAACTACCCTTGAGGCATACTCCCACCCATAATCCCTCAGATACCCCAATCACAATATGAGCCAAATGGATCTCATTCCTTCCCCCATTCCAAACCCGACTCTCTCTCCTATGCCTCATTTGTCTGTAAATGACATCAAACTAACAAATCATCTAATCAGAGTTACTGCCCTCACATATGCACATACACACACTCTTCTCCCTCTCTCTCATCCCCTACATGCCAATGTTCATTAAATACTTAATGATTTTACTTCTAAAATGTCAAAAACTGGAGAATCCAGAGTTTTCTATTTGAGGGCCGAGTAATAGCAATGTGGTTCATAGTGGGTGCTTGAAGCTGTACTTCATTGTGCTTTCCTTAATTGAACAGACTTACCTGTTCATATCAAAGAATAAAGGGGTACTAATGGATTTATCAGGGGGAGGTACTAAAATTCCCCCAAACTACTGTGTGCGGCTATCACCCTGCAATCTGTTCAATCCATCCTCTCCAATCCATGTACAACCTTCCTTTTCTCTTGGAAGAGACAAGCTATAGTCTCCTAATTAATTTTCCGGTCCTCCCAGATCACAGTGATGCTCTTCCTTCATTGAACTGTTATGAGCTATGGCTTCTATGTCTTTAACTCCTGAACAACCATATAGCATTATCAATATTGTCCAAGCCATTGCTAATGGCATCGCTATAACATGTGACTGATCTGGGTTCAGGTCCTTGCTTAGACACTAACTAGTTTTGAGACTTTTTGTAGCAATAATAAAAAATATTACTCATAACAACAGCTACCATTTATTGGAATTTGTTCTGTGAAAGTTACAGAGCTAAGCATTTGAGAAGCATTCTTTTAATTCATATTACAACATCATTTGGCAAGTAGTACTAAATTCACTTTGATTCCCCTTTTCTGGTAACCGAGTATGAGAGAGGTTATGAAACATATTCGGAATCACACACAGCTAGTGAATGTCAGAATTGGGATTTTAAACCTAGTTTTTTTTTAAAAAATTCCCACACTTATGCTCCCCAAAACTATGGTTTCATGTATAAGTAGTGTAAACTTTCCTTGATCAAGTTTCCTCATCTATAGGTAGACTATATACTGCACCTAATACAGTGCCTCGCATGCAGTAAGTGTTCAAAATTGGTATTTTTTTAAAGTTTTAGTAAGAATAATTGGGCTTAGAAATGCGTTATTCAGCTCCTGACAACCTCTTTGGTTTTCTCAAGCACCAAACCACTAACTATGATAACTTATATAGCACCCTAATTAAGCCATTTGCTTAACAAACCACAAACTGTGCAACCCACATGGGGCAGACAAAATGCCCTTTCTCTGCAGGGTTCCTGAGAATAAATAATTCTAAAAATTCTGCTGTCCACCTCAGCCCACCATCTCACTATCTCATCTAATTCTGAACATTGTGAGGAAATTCTTCCTGTGGATAAGAAAGTTTGGCTCACCTAGAGTCAAGTCTTTTCATTGAACAAAACAGTTTTACTTACAGAGTTTGTACAGCAGTTCTACTTGTCCCTCTCAGGCTGACTGAGAAGGTTGAGGAGACTTCAGATTCCAGGGGGAGGACCGAGCTTATGAGGAGACTTGTTCCAGCCTGAATGGAGACAGACACAGAGCTGAGAGGCCCGTTCCTGGTGGTGGTGTCACTCACTGTGTCTCCAGGGATATGGTGGTTCCCAGAAGACTTCTTTTGCCTTATACAGTCTTTGTTTGTTCCATTACGCAATTACTTATTGTGGTCATGTGCTTTATAGGCTGATGTAATTTTTTTTTGTCCTTGTGCCCTTTTATTGAAGTGATTTTTTGTAAAAATAATTTTAAGACATAATTCATATATCATAAAATTCACCCATCTAAAATGTACAATTCAATAGTTTATAGTAAATTTACCGAATTGTACAAGCATCATTTAGAAAATTTTATTACTGCAAAAAGAAATCCCATGCTCCTAAGCAGTCACTCTAAAGAGTATTTTAAAAAATGAAATATTATACTAAATTGCTAAAAGGAATCTCCTCTGGTGAGTGCAAATCACATTCCACTCAGTAACTCGTTATCATCTATAACTATTTATGGCAGTCCTGTTTCATTAGTCTGTGCTTTTTAGCAGCCTGTCACTTATAACTAGGAAAAAAAAAATTTACTCATCTATACATATATCCAGTAAATATTGCATAAGACTATCCTATATTCCGAACATCATGCTAACTGCTGGAGATTAAAAAAAAGTGGGCGTACAACACAGTTCTTACTGTCCATGGTCTCTTGGTTTAGTTTAGAAACACACAGTTAACTGATAATTACCAATATTGATAATCAATGATAATATTCTCTTAGAGGCATGAACCAAGTACTTGGAGAATGTCATAGGTAAAAATCTCGGTCTACAATTAGGTGTGCAGAAAATACATTTTTAATTTATTTTTTCATAATTTAACCTATTTTATGTTTTGAATCCCAGACCGCTAACTGGAAGGAAACTAACAACAATAATTTGAGATTCTCCCCACTTTTGTTTAAATTTTGAGGATCTTATATTGTACCAAGGACTTTGAGTATGTGGGTGATGGATCTGGCCAACGATGCAATCTGAAAAGAGGTGGCAGTTGCTCTCTCTAGGCTTCAGTAAATAGAGTGCCCACAAATTGCTATAGACTGCCATCTTCTCTACTTACGATCCCTTTAGATCCTCAGTGGTCCCACCATTACTGGACCACTCTAGAGCATATGAGTCTTGAAGTCTACCCTTCATTTCTGTCTCTTACACTCTGCATATAAGTCTTCAGATCCTAATATCTTTGAAACTATTACTGGAATGTAATCACTCTTCATCACCTCCAAAAATACCTCCTTTTTCCAAGGTGTCATTATCTCTTACTTGGATAATTTCAGTAGTTTCCAAACTAGTCTCCTTGCTTCCATCCTTATCTCTCCCTACCACCCAGTCTGTTTCACCACAGAAAATATCTTGGCCTGAAATACTTTATTCTTTATAATGTAACAACAACACTTTATCATGCATTCTGTGCCCAAGGTATTATGAAGTGTTTTTGGTAGAGAAAATAGTGCCCCTCAAAGATGTCCATGTCCTAATACCTGGAACCGATGAATATGTTACGTTTACAGGGCAGAATGGATTTTGCAGATGTGATTGACCTTGAAGACCTTGAGATGAGATTATCCTGAATCATCTGGGTGGGTTCATTCTAATCACATGAGTTCTTAAAAGTGGAGAACCAGAGAGGTGGCAGCCTGAGAAGGATTTGATCCACCATTGCTAGCTTTGAAGATGGCAGAGCGAGGGAGATCCTGAGCCAAGGAATGTGGGCAATCTCTAGAAGGAGAAAAGGCAAGGGTATTGTTCTTCCTTATGCCCTCTAGAAAATAATGCAGCCCTGTTGATGCCTTGATTTTAGCTCAGTGAGATTCATATCAGTTTCTGACTTACTCAACTCTAAGATAATAAATTTGATGGAAGAATCCCTTATTACTTTGATTCATTACAGTTACCAAGGATTAGAGAATATAAGTAACTTACTTAGGTCTCTCAGTTAATAAGTGTCACAACCACTATTTAAAGCTTGGGCTATTGGAAACCCGATCAGGTTTTATTTTTTTATTTTTTTACTTTTTTACTGTTTTATTGTTATGTTAATCACCATACATTACATCAACCCTATCAGGTTTTAAAACTCATTCTCTAGATAATCTTCACATGCTCATTCATCTACCACTAATTCCAATCAAATTGTTCTAACCCAACAGCATGTGCGCATGCTTATGTGCTAGCCTGGATGTTAACACGCGGTCACCTGTGTATGCTTACATTTTGTATATGAAGTTTGGTCTGTTATAGCTCCTTACAGTGGACTTCTTGAGACCTTTGGAAACATTTTCTCTACTAGTCTGGGCAAATTCTAGGGCAGTGACTGCATTCCCATCAGTCTCAGAAACTTCTTGGGGATTATGTTTATTTATCCCCTGGCCAAAAGAATGTTACTTTTTCTCACAGCAATAGAGTTATAATAATATTATAGTATACTCTGAACCAGAGCTTGGTGCATGCGCATGGAACTATTGTGCATAGTGGTAGAACACTGACACACATTGTACTCATACTTTCAAATTACAGTCCTTCTCACTGCCCTACTCTCGTGCCAGCCCAGCAGAACAGTAGCTGGTAATTCAATTCAACCTTCTGAAAGTCTGAGCAAAATACCCCTCAATAAAATCACTTAGCAACAGGAATATGCTGTTATCAATCTATCAATATCAATACCATTGAACCTGGGAAACATACCACAGTCTGTGACATTACTGGACTTCATATTAATGTTTTCCAACCTTCGTAACCCAAACAGGGAGAACAGAATTAGAAACAAGAAAAAATGTGCCATAGGGACTTGCAATAAATGTTATTTATTGAATGTCAGTATTTTACTACAGTAAACAGTAAAATATCCTTGCCTGTCAAATTAGCAAAATTTTTTAAAGTTTTTATTTCTTTTTTTTTTTTAAAGATTTTATTCATTTATTTGAGAGAGAGAGAATGAGAGATAGAGAGCACGAGAGAGGGAAGAGGGTCAGAGGGAGAAGCAGACTCCCCGCCGAGCAGGGAGCCCGATGTGGGACTCGATCCCGGGACTCCAGGATCATGACCCGAGCCGAAGGCAGTCGCTTAACCAACTGAGCCACCCAGGCGCCCCAAAGTTTTTATTTCTTTGAGAGAAAGAGCACAGAGGGAGAGTGAGAGGGAGAAGCAGGCTCCCCACTGAGCAGGGAGCCTGACACGGGCCTGATCCCAGGACCCTGAGATCGTGACCTGAGCTGAAGGCGGACGCTTAACTGACTGAGCCACCCAGGTGCCCCCAAATTAGCAAATTTTTAAGAAACTTATAATACACAGTGTTATGTTGCTGTGTTATCATGGACTAAGCCCTGTTTTACAGTATTTGTATGAACTTCCTGAAAGTGTATTTTCCAGTATATTGTTGGCTTAAAAGGTCCATTATGTTCTATTTCTAGAAATTTATCCAGAGGAAAAAATAGAGATACAGGCCACATTTTATATAGAGGAACATTTATTGCAGTATTATCCACAGTAGTAAAACATGTAGGTAACAAAAATTCTCAATGACACAGAAATAAGTATTTTATCTGGTCATAGGCTAAGACCTTTAAAATTCACACAGGGAGCAGCTGATGTGGATAGTCATCTTGAATCAGGAAATGGGAAAACAGAATTCAGGACTGAGAGTTTTCTAAGGGAGTAGATAGTGTAGATTCTGAAAGAAACAGTCTGAGACAGGAGCAAGAGGCAAATCAGATAATCGAGGGTTAATATATCCAAATTGTAGAAGCAAACCTAAAAGCAAGCAAAGAATAACAATAACAACAAAAACTGGTTCCTGCCTTAGTAACTGTGTTTAGAAACAATCTATTTGCTATTTACAAAAAATACTAAGGTCCTACAAATCCTACTGGCCCTCCAGGGTCTGGTGACAGTCTCTTTCTCTTCTCCTGGATTCAGTCATGTTGAATTACCAGTAGTTCTACCCTATTCATTTGGCCAACATTAACCATTCAATTTTAGTGGATAAAGAAATGTATCTCTTCCTTTCCTCTCTCTATCATCTCCTTCTGGCTATTCCTATTATTCCTATTTATCCCATTCCTCTCTGCTCTCACCATGTCTTATACATGCTTCCATCAACATTCTTCATGCATTCATTTATCATTACAAAAATATTGTATGCATACTATATGTCTGTTACTGAGTAAGATTTGAGGGTGTAATAACAGTGAACACAATGGATATTGCCCCAGATGTTACAGAGTTTAGTGGAGGATAAAATTAAGTATGTGGGAAATTACAGTACTGTGTTATAGTTACTTTAAAGGAGGAAAATTAGTAGATTTCTGCTACTAGGCGCCTGGGTGGCTCACTTGGTTAAGCGACTGTCTTTGGCTCAGGTCATGATCCTGGAGTCCCGGGATTGAGTCCCACATCGGGCTCCCTGCTTGGCAGGGAGTCTGCTTCTCCCTCTGACCCTCTTCCCTCTCGTGCTCTCTATCTCTCATTCTCTCGCTCAAATAAATAAATAAAATCTTTTTTTAAAAAAAAGATTTCTGCTACTAAAAAACCAATAGTATTGGCATCACATGGAAGCTTGTGAGAAATGTAGAATATCAGATATACTGAGTCATCATCTGCATTTTTGCAAGATACCTAAGGGACTTATGTGACATTCAAGTTTGAGAAGCACCGATGTAGATCAAATGGATGTTGAGACCTTGCCCTATATGGTCAAGGGAGGCTCGCCAAATATAATTGCTAAAGTGAGATCTGAGGAAATAGGGACCTCCTGAAGGGAGTTAGGGATGAGGATAGTAACATAGAGGGTAGGGTCATGAGCTGATAGAAGGTTAGGGAAATGTTGCGGGCATGGTCAGCAGCTGTGGTGTTTTATTCCATAGGCATCCTGAACATACTATTGGGGAACTGTAATGCAAGAGAGCTAAAAAACAAACACAAACACAAAACAAAACAAAAACAGAGGAAAATAAAACACTCCACAATATTCAGCTTCCATTAATTTATCTTTAATTTTCAAATCATAAAATCTTAGAACAAGTTATTTTAATTTTA